CGCTCCTCTAAACCCGCCTTCCATACTTCCCCCAGCTCTTCCGCCTGCTTCTCGAGGCCGACCCGCTGCTCCCTCTCATGATTAAGCTGCCTAGTCAGCTCCTCTACCTGGGCCTCGAGACCCACCCGCTTCTCTCCTTCTGCCTTAAGCTGGGCCTCAATCTCCCGAACTCTACCCTCCCATTCCCCAGTTACCTGCTGAAGCTTCACACAAAGCCGACACTCGAAACTCACCTCCGCCGCCACCTCCAGGCTCCCGAAACCCGTCTCCTCCAGGTAACACCACCTCCCACACCCCTCGCACTGCACCAACTCGTCCCCACCCTTGTCATGCCGACCCAAATCTAGACCCATGTCTAGACCGGGAACAAACCGTCCCTTCCCGCCAAAAATTCAAACAGAGCCTACTTTGAGAAACTAACGTTAACTGCTGCTGCTCAAACCTAATACTGCTACCGCATAGTCACTTCCAATCAACTCTCAAAAAAAGAGAGAGAAAAGAAGAAAAACTGGCACTTAGCTTCGGATGCTCGAGGAGAACCAGGAAACACGTCCGCTCACCGCAACTCAGTCGAGAGACTCTCGAGAGAATTAACGATAAAGGAACAGACTGGCGCCATCTACCGGGTAGTCGTGGACCAATTTCACTTTTTGTTTTCTCGCTCATCATTCTCTTTTCTTTTTTTTGTTTGGAATTTTTTTTGAAAATATTAAAAACGACATTTGTTTTTATAAATTTTAAGTACATTATATCTCGCAAATACAGCGAAGCCGTCGCTCTACTGAAATGGAGTTCAAAAGTCGCCTCGTAGATGGCGCCAGCTGACCAGGGTGTTCTCTCGTCGCAAGGGATCGCAAGAACTCACTAGTAAGCAAACGCAAGTGTGTGAGAAAACCTTTACCTTCATATACTAGCTTTCTTGTGCGCCAATGAGCTAGATGGAGTAAGTAAAACTATAACTTCGTTAATTGTTTGTGGTTCTTTGAACGTTTCCTTGATGTTTGTGAAATCATGTTATTAAGGTACCGACTAGTTCAAAAGTAGAGAACCTGGATCATTTGAGCAAATAGGAACTTTCAAATTATCTGTTGTAAAAACTGGATAAAAACACAATCTTTATTCCAGACTCCTGATTTGAGCTGCGCCGACTATGTGTCTAGGGGTGTATCTCGAAACAACCCATTCTTATTTGAACCCTTCTCGTTTGAACCCATTTGCAAAACGCCCTTCTCGTTTGAACCTTTCGCGTTTTGACCCTTTCTTATTTATACCCGTCTCATTTGAACCCATTCTCATTTGAACCCTTCTCGTCTGAACCCATTCGCAAAACACCCTTCGCGTTTTAACCTTTCGCGTTTCGATCCTTTCTCATTTGAACCCGTTGTCATTTGAACACCGTAGTGAGGTTTAGAAAGAAGGAAAAACAGTTGAGGATGAAGGTTGAAGATGAAGCGAAGCGGCACCATCTCTTGCATAGCACATGAAACAATTTTCCTTATGCCTGAGTGCCACCCCGAGTCTGTTGACGTAGCTACGTGGTCACATGGTGACGTGGTTTCAAAAGTGCTAGCGCAGATTCGGTACTTCATTTCTCTTCTGTCGCTGTATGTCGTTAAGATGTCGTCGTTTGCAGCGGATGGATCATTGTGCTAGTCGTGTGTTATTGCTTGTAATGGCCATTTCGGATGGTCATTTTCCCTGAAAAAACGTTTTCCCATATCTTCGGCAAGGGCGTTCGCGTGGTCAAAGGCTGGCGGGAGCAAGCTTTTCGGGTTGCGCTCCTCAGGCGTGTACCGGATTTACCAGCAGAAGTTTTTTCAAGCTCCAAGTGGTCGGGCAGCTTGTCTGCCAGACTTTATCCGGTATCGTCACATCCGATTCGGGATAGGGAACCAAACGAAACAATGCTCGCTGAGGTAGCAAATAGCGGGTTCGAGTGGCAAACGAAGCCATTGAGACATGCACCCTTTTGTGCTCTGAGACAAGATAGCAAAAACAACGAAGAGAAAGATAATTTATGTTTCAAAGAAAGTCAACATTTTTGGAAGAATTTGTCCAGCCTGAGCAAGGTATGTTTGCTCTGAGACACGGGCTGCATCATACATCACTTTATTTTTCAACTTTATAATAACAAGGTATTGCACCGCTGAAAAAAAGTATGCATAGTGATGCAGTTTGAAACTTGAACACGCATTACAATTTCAAAGAGGGAGGTGCAATGAGAAGACTGGGGATTCCAAAAAGGCACTAGAGAGTTTTAGTAGATCGTTCCGATACCCCCGATAGCCCCGATAACGATACTATGCATGCGCAAGGGAGGCGGTGGCGGAGTATCGGGTACCGTTATCGGAGTCATGGGAATGATCTAAAAAAACTCTCTACTAACAGTAAACAGAATATGGAAAGCGACGCTGGCAAAATTTGACGCGCGTGCGGGCAGCACCACACTGATTTATACATCTGCCCTTTCATTGATTTTATATTTTAATATTCTGTGAGCTGTACGGACTGTGGTAATGCCAATATTTTGAAAAGGTTTGTGAAGCCGCTTCTGTTTACACACATCTCAAAGAGTCGTAATTTAAGTTGTTGGCGTATTCAGCGTGCTCATGGTACCATAGAATGATCGAAGAAGTTAACAGAGCTCACTCGCGACCCAGTCAAATAAAAACGCCAGTTCATTGTGCTTTGCATTCGGGTGGAGACGTTTTTGGTCGCCGGTGCCACAGGCAAGGGCTATTTGACCTTTTTCAAAGTTTAGCCACGATCGTGGCGCGCCCTCGCGGGTATCCCTCGAAACACTTTTGGTGGCTCCGGGAACGTCTCTCCCTCGTCCGCGCCAGGCCTGCTTGTCTCTCGGTCTATGTGTTTGCGTGTGTTCTCTGGTGGCGTTGTTCCATCCTTCACCAAACTTAACGTGTCTTTCTGTCGTCGCTTCGCATGCATATTTTCTTCGAAATCGCTGTGAACGACCTGGAGGATTAACAAAAGTCAATGTCTAGGATACAGAGGACCTCGTTCGTTTTTATACCTTCAGGGATGGATAGACCGCCGACGCAGCATCGGTTCTTACCATCGACTCAGAGTCACTTCATCGTCACTTCGGTGCCGCGTCTTGCAAGCAACTAAAAAAGGGGTCTGCTTTCAAAGCAGAGTGGCAGAGTGTTATGTAAGGAAAGTAATGGTGACCAGCTTGGATACCGACCCAATCATCAACTTTGTGCGGAGTTTGTGAGCTTAATTTATGATTCCCGGCTACTACAACCAGCTGATTTTACTCTCTTTGATCGCTTAAGTTATTCAAGCTTATCGTATCCGTCACTTCTCCGTCCTGTGTACCGCGCGAGGGCACGGGACATTGCCGTATTCGGGAATGTGTAAACAAACTCGGACGGTGCGAAATCCGGGCCGTCTTGATATCGCGAAGGATTGCCTGCACCGTCAAAAAGTAAGGAACGGTATGTTAGAAACAATCCATCTTTGAATTCGGCACGTTTACGAACCTTCGACAAAGTGGGCCCAACAAACAGGGCAAACAGCAAACAGCCACAAGTTCACGGATGGTAGCCAAGAAATTTCATCAAGGTTCCGTCTCCGTAAGGCTTAAATTCATTTCCCTCGGTTTGTCAGTTTTTTTTTTTTTTTTTTTTTTAACGTAGCAAGACGCGAATGTGTATAGCGCACGCCTGAAGAACGGAAAGCTTTATGCTGTTATTTTTTAATTCAGTACCGGGTATGGCATGATTTCGTCACACAACCTCGTTTGCACGTTTACTATTAATAAAAAAATGGTTGGAGTGCAGGCGAGCTGGTGTAAATTGAATACATGAAAGCTGGATGGAACATCGAGGACAGGGACGGAAATAGTACCTCTTTCAAGAAGTCCTGTATGCCTTCCCGTCCTTGATATTTTATCCTTTCATGTATTAGTAACTATTCAGCAACACGCTCATTTTATATTATTAAACCTGAGACTGAGGTAGGAAAAGGAAAACGCAAAGGAAAAACGGGCAACGTCTCAGGAGACGTTGTCTGTCCTCTTTCCTTGTCCTTTTGCGTTTTCCTTTTCCTACCCCAATTTCAGGTATATCATCATGTTCACATTTACGCTATTTTAGTTAAAAGCAGAATGTCCCACCGTCACACTGATGTTCCAGCCACTTGAAACGGGGGACTCTCGTCATAGGCGTTTGAAAGCAGGGCAAAAACGGCGGGGTGTTTGACATCGGGTGCTTTCGTGCACCACCCGCCAAAGGCTACAAGAACTTCATAAAATTTGGCATTTTAACAATGTTTGCTTCTATTTGTGCAACCTTCTGCTGCGCGGTGGTGAGGCATGACGACTATGAGGCCAAGCCGCGAGAATACCGGACGAGTCAAGCATAACCAGCACTGTCTGAGCGACCGAGCGGGCGAGAGAGCCACCAAAAATGGCGCCTTTCCCTTTCCTCTCCTCTCTCAGAGTCGGCGCATGCGCCCAGCGATCTCTGAAAAAGGTCAATTAATTACCCGAATTCGCCGCAGAAAGATTGCGAGAACATGATGTTGGATTAATTTGGGTTCGAAATGAGAGAGGTTAAAATGAAAAAAGCCTTTCTGACAATGGTCAAAACCAGAAAGTATGTTTTGAGAAAATTTGAAATGAGAAAGGTTAAAATGAGAAAAGTCGTTTTGAGAAGGGTCGAAACCCGAAAGTTTGTTTTGAGAACGGTTTAAATGAGAAAGGGAGAAACGCGAAAGTTGTTTTGCGCTGGGTTGAAATGAGAAGGTAAAAACGAGAAGGTAGAAATGCGAACGGGTTCAAATGAGAACCACCCTGTGTCTAGTAGGGACTCATTAAGCAATTCATAAACTATGCATCTACCACTTCAGCTCTATAAAAAATTTAATCTTTGCCGTTCCGTGAATAAACATAGAAACATTGCACTTCTTTCAAGAACAAATTTCACCAATATTGTGCATTCGAATGTATACACAAAACGCAGAAACCGTGATGCGTCTTGGAATCTGAATTTTATTTTAAATGAAACATCACTTTCACTTTCCCGGCAACAACTCTTCTCTCTTATTAAACAATGACCCTATCTAAACTAGGATAGGTTTTCATTAGATAAATTCCTCACCAAAATATCGTTTAAACTAGAAGCGTGTCTAAACGAATTTGCATATTTCAAATGCCGCGAGTACTCTTCACAAATGCGAAGGGAAAAATTGGGCTTAATTTCTTTAGAAAACCGACCAAAACGTTACTCGCTTATATCGTTTTTATTTAAACTTATTTCAGAAAATTTGAATCCCATACACGCTATACTGTACACACTGTACACGACCAAAAACCGGCGGCTTCCGATAGTGGTCGCAGCGTGAAGTAAAGGGTCCAGTTTTTTTTTTAATTTTTTATTTGAGAGATTACGGCACAGGGCGTGATGACACTCACTTATTTTATCTAGTGTGCGTTCCCTTGAAAATATTGCACCAAACGATTAATTGAAATACAAATATATGTCTATGACATGAAACTGTATATACACCGTCAACATGCAACATGCAAATAACTATAAATAACTATAACACCGTCAACAATCAACATGCAAATAACTACTAATCTCAACATCGAAGTCAGTCCTTGTGCAATTAATTTTTCAGTTTGCTCTCGTGTGCTATATATTCGCTGACAAGGTGAAAACGGCAGAAAGGAACTTCAGTTGTCCCGCCTTCAGCGCGAGGTTCCTACTTTCGATTATGCTTCGGTGTATTCTGAGCCTCGAGTGTGCACACGCAGCCAAAGCATGTAGGAAGGCAACGAAAGCATGCTGAAGGCCGGGCGTTGAAAGGAGGCGCCCTGCCGCAGTCATCGTCTTAGTGACTATAGTTCTTTGTTCTTGCGACGGTGTTGGCTGCCACGTATACGGTGTCAACCCTCTGTCTCAATGATCACTCGCAGTGCGTCATCCACGACGAAGCCATCCGACTGCAGTTCACTGGTCTTGAAACACTTGTCCTGGGGTTTTTGTATCTTCCTATTGGCCTTGTTCTGGATCCTGGTGAAATAGACGTCTACGTGCTCCACCTCTGACGGCATGATGGCGTGCTTGATGTTCTTGCCGGGGTCTTCTGGGTGTACCAGGATCAGAAAGAACGTCTTCCGGATCGGCCATTGCGAAGTGGTCCTCCTCACTGAGGTGACCAGAGATAAATATACGTACAACTGATCCGCAAAACGCCTGACGAAAGTCTGGCCCACCTGCAACGGGTATCCCGCCACGTTAAAAGGATCGCTCGCGTAGGACGCGGCACTTCGCATTTTGGCACTGAAGTTCCTCAAAAAACAAGAACCTCTTCTCTGGCCTTCCAAACTGGGCTCAAAGACTGGGACGCTGCCGACCTTCTGCAACATTTCCTTCTCTGTTTGGTGAATTCGAGGCAAGCAGTCTTGGAGGAGCGTTTGCAAGTTGTTGGTAACTTTTGCGTAGGCTTGGGTACAGGCGAGAACCGAGTTGATGTTGTCTTCTGTGGCACACTTTGCCACGCTGAGTTTTTCTATTACCCTTCCGACTTCATCATTCGTCTTCTTAAGTTCGCTTATCGTTCGCCCGCTCCTGCAATCACCGGTAAGATGCTCCAGAAATCTCTTCTGCGGCACGTGTTGAGCGCACCTCCCGCAGGTCACCACGTGGAACTGACAGTCTACCTGGAAGTGTTCCTTCAAGGTATTGAGGCTGCCGACAAAACTGCATCCCTCGTTGGCGTTGATGCATCGCACTTTCTTCTCTTCTAGGACAGGCGTAAACACGGAGGTTTTAGAGACGCAGCTGCAGTGGCAGCCGCAGCGGCAATCGCATTCGCAGCCGACGAAGTCGCAACCCCAGCGTACCTGGTCAAGCAGACAGCGAGCAGGCTTCCGGCTGGCGGCCTGGTCGTAGCACGCCCCGCAGTATTTGTGTCCACACGGTAGTCCCAGCAAAATCTCGGGAATCACGTCACATACGCTACAGCATACGTCGTCGGGAAGCGTCTCTTCAAAGTGTATGGGCCTGAAGTTTAAGATGTCGCAGTACCCGCGCAAACACTTCACCACTGGCATCGTGAAGAGTAGAACGATAATGGCTGGTTTCACGTGACGAAGCTGAGACTGTCTCCTGCCGTTGTGCAAAGGAACGAAGTGCGCTATCGTCGCTGCTTCGAGTCTGTTGCCTTGGCGTCCTAGAGATAGGACGAACGGATTAACGACACCAGATACGGTTTCACTGGAAACAAAAGATAACAGCAATGTTTTTTTTTTGAACAAAGGCGAAGAAAGTATCGGAGTAAAGTAGCAGACAACGGATGAGAGGAGAGTCACGTGACTGACGCCCCGCTGCGGCGACACGCCGAAACACACTTCTCCCGAGCGAACAAGCGTGTTTCGGGTCCTCGCCGCTGCAAACGCTGTGCGCTGACGTCCAGGATCCCCGAGAAATGGCTGTTCGATGCTCTGTGCTACCAGACCCTCGCGCTCCAAATCTGCGGCCGGGCACTCTATGGCTCCGTCGTCGAACTGCCAGGCTTTGTGAGTAGAGAGGAGTAGTAATGGACCGAGTCTGGCCGAACTTCAGGTTCGGCAAAGTTCCGCTCAAAAGTTCGACAAAGATTCGGCAAAAATTCGGCAAATGTCTTCGCACGCGCGGAAGCGCGACGGGGCCATGGACTGCAAATGGACGCCGTGCAGTCGTGCGGTTACCATCGCACTGTGTTACAACTAGGGGTGTCGCGAACTTTTGTCGAACCAGATTTTTTGGTCGAACTTTCGGGGTTCGACTGGGTCGAACCGGTTCGACGAACCTTCGAACTTTTCACCAGATTCGACCGGTTCGACTTTGTGGACAGTGTGGCCAGACCTTGATACAAGCATGTCTAGGTTTGGAGAATTTCTTTTTTTAGGCAAAGGGTTATTTTATTGTGTAAACAACTGCAATTAAAAGAAACTAATTCTATTCACTGAAGAAGTTAATAACTTAAATTTTAGTACTGTATTGACTGAAATAGCCGATCAGCGCTGCACTTAATTCATCTCTTAGCCATTACCATCCAATCCGAAGCCAACTGGCCAGCCTGTCGCGCATGCGCACACGAGTCGAACCTCAATACAAGGTTCGACGGACTTTCCACTAAAAGTTAGAAAAAGTCGAACCTGGTCGAACTCGAACCGCGGCCGGTTCGCGACACCCCTAGTTACAACCAGCGGTTACGGCGATGTGTACAGTAGGCAACACGGTAACTGTGCGTTTGTGAGCGAGTGCGGGTCTCTTGAATATTTTCTGCTTCAAGAAGAGAAGATCGACCAGTAATTTACGCAGTCCACCGCGGAAGCGACAAATGGTGTGGTACATTTTGGATAACGTGATTTTCATTTGACCTTTCCAGTGATGCAACGAGGTAGTTGAAACATTGTCTGACAATTAATATAAAGCGCTTTCCGGAATCATATAATTTCTTGGACTGACAAGTAGTTTGTGCTAAAACAAAATGATATTGCTTTTTAATTAGCCTTATTTCGCGGTTTTCTCATGCATCTACATAAAACTAAACACAGAACTATCATGCTCGACGTTGCCCATCCGACATTCATAACTCTTCCTAAACGTCCGTGTGTGTACATTAAAAACCGGTATTTCAAAGGTTGAAAACGAGACGTTGCGAATATAGAACGCACACTTTCATGCAAAGTTGACGTCATGTGACTCAAGTCGAAAAACATGCATATTTACAATACAGTTTTTACCATTTCTGGTGAAGGCTCAGCAACCGTTGCAGTCGTTTCCGCGTACGAAGCGGTGACACCCAGAGAAAGTAAGAACGCAGTGTTATTGCCTTTATTTGTGCACACACTTGCAGGCTTTCGGTGATGATGGCCTCAAGACCGAAACTCCCGTATCGTGATTCGTGGCTGCACGCGCTATCTACTTAACCTCCGTTGTCACGCCACTTCTACAAGAAGTCACTGTAAAATTGCCAGTAAACATACAAAAACGACACTGATACAATTATCTTGTAGAATGTCGCCTTATTTAGTAATAATTGTGTCAGTATGCATTACATGACAAACATAAAACCTTTTTTCGCAAAAAAAAAAGAAAAAAAAAAACAACTAATTATTAACGTTAAGTCTGGTAACAATGTATTTTTGCCGAATCTTTAGAAACATCCAGCGAAAGTTCGACTTTGCGGAATCCCAAGACCGGGCGCCGAATTTTCGATTCGGCAAAAGTTCAGTCCATCACTATAGAGGAGGCTATGGTATGGGCCAGCGTCGCATTTGTACTCCGTTCCACATTTAATTCCGGCCCCGTTTGACGATGCGATTCGATGAAGCCAATCAAGTAATGCCTAAAAGCGCATCGTCACTGCGCTCATTGTCGGTGTGCTCTTGGTGTCACTGACTAAACCAATCACAAGCAGTGGACGCGCCGCGATCCTGGGATTGTGCGTGACTAATTAATCCGCTGATGACAAAACAACGAGCGCAGTTGCTCGATCGGCTCTATGGGATCAACGGTTACGGTTGGCTTTAAAATGAAGCTTTAGTATAGAGGCTCGCAAAACACATTTTCCGAGCGCCGCCATCTTGCTTCTGGTGGGGATCGTCTGATAGTCGAGCATTGCTGAGGCGTACCCACGGCCTCAGCGATGCGTGACTATCGGACGATGTACCCACACCAGCAGAAAGATGTCCTCGCCTAGAGGGCTTACTTGCTAACGTTTATAGGTAAACGGCTGTGCAGTCAGCGGCGCTATAAGCTGGCCTAGTTCAGTGATATGCGAAGGGAGGAAAATGCCCACGGCACGGGGGCTAAGCTATGAAACCGAATGCCATATGGCGAAAATAGTAAATCTGGCGGTTCATTGAAACCCACTTTTTGCTGAACGAATTACCGATCTAGAGACTTTCCACGTGACTTGTGTGCCGCTCCGGTCTGAATGACCCGGGCCAGCTCATTGCGCCGTCCGGTATACTCAGGGGCGGTGTGTACGTTTTTGTCTCGGCGTGCTCCGGGTGCAGCCTTCATTGCTTAGGGTTGAAAACATCCTGGTTCTGTGCCTCTCTGTGTGTCTGGCGAGCCTATGCTGCCTTTGAAGTGTGGCGCTAAAACACTGCTTGTTGATTGTAGTGCGCGGTGTCGTAACTTCGGTAACCGTTCCTGTTTCCTTGCTATGCCGCCATGGGGGGGGGGGGGCAAGGCATGCGTTCCCCCCCCCCCCCCCCCCCCCCCCCGAAACAGCCGCCACAGGGCAGGGCAAACACTGGCCGGCGGTGCCCAAGGAATACCAAGGGCACTGCCCCCGACCCGCGGGGGCATATTTGTAACGCGCAGGCGATACAAACCCTAGCAACGGCGATCACGCCGGATCGGCTGGTTCGTGGAGATAGGCGCTGCTGCCGTCAACATAGGCAGAGGTTACAATGCGAGTTTCCGAAGCGGTAGCGTAACTCAGTTGTAAGATATGTCTGCCTCATACGTATCAGACCCGGGTTCTATCCATGGTGGGGGCTTACTTCTTTTATGGTTTTTCCTCGAACATCTTTTTGTCGAGGCATTTGGGGATATTTACGACATTTCGTTTTTACGATTAACACACAAAAAAAAAAAAATAACGAATGTTGTTGACGAAAAATCGCTGAACTAAATCGTATACGGGACTCTACGGCGGAGGTGCATGAGGGACAGGGGGGCTTCGGTTGCCGGCTGGACGCCGTGTACGGGGGGGGGGGGGGGGGGGGGGGGGCTAAGTGGTTTAATATTTTTTGTAATTAGCAGCCGCGCACTGTCGCCGCGAAGCGGCGTGAACGCAGGCGCGGGGGTCGGTTAACGCGCTTCGAGCGATACACGCACCGTCCGAATCCGAAATTTAAGATCCCGCGCGTTGCCGAGCAGCCAATCCGGCGTGAGCGTCGTTGCTAGGGCGTCTATCGCCTGCGCTGTAAAGGGAGTCAGTGACCAAAGTGCCCGGTGCGCATACACAATTGGCCCTCTTTCCCCCCCTCTTCCTCTTTTACAACGCCTACACACACACACACCGTAAAAGTTAGTGATGGACCAAATCTGCCGAATTTCAGATTCGGCAAGGTCCTGCACATGCCGAAATTTTGAAGGCAAGTTTGGCAAAGATTCGTCAGAAATTTCGCAAATGTCTGCGCACGCGCACGAACGCGACGGGGCCGTGGATCGCAAATGGATGCCGCGCAGTCGCGCGGTTACCATCTCACAGTTTAGTAAAACCAGCGGTTACGGCGAGGTTTGGAGTAGGCGATGCGGTAACTGTGCGTTTGTGAGTTTTTGCGAGTGTGGTTCTCTTCAATATTTTCTGCCTCAAGAACAGAAGATCGATCAGTAAAAAAAAAATTGGGTTGTGTGTGTGTTTATACAGCCTAGAACTTGGTCTGCCTCACAGGGGCGACGAGTCTCCCAGCTGTAGATGAGAAATTTAGCCAGTGCGGTACAGCCGCTAGCCTGGGGTCTTTAACGTGCATCACGCAGTAGTGATACACGACCGCACGCCGGTACGATGCTCATCCAGATCGAAACGGGCAGGGATGGGGCTCGAACCCAGGATCCCTGGGTTCTGCAGCGATCGATCAGTAATTTACGCAGTCCACTGCGCAAGTGACAAATGATGCGGTGCATTCCGGATAAAGTCCTTTTCATTTGACCTGTCCACTGATGCAACGAGTTCGTTGAAACATTGACTGAAAATTACGCTCAGTGTGCGCAGCCCGCTGCCATCAAGCAGGGCAGAGTCACGAGAGCCTGCCAGAATGTATGGCATGCAGCTGGCATCCTCGTTATAATGTGATATATATGTTTTCCCCCTTCTTTTTTTTTTTCTTTTTGCGTAGTTTTTGTAGTGTGTATAATCTGTACATTTATTTGTCTGTTTTGTTTTTTCATATGTGTTAGCGAGCTGGCAGCAGACATGTACAAGCTACTAAAAAAAATTAATTAATTTAAGTTACTGAGTATTAGCCTCAAAACTAATTTGACTAGAGTAGAAATTACTCTGATGGAAAGAAAATTACCGTAAAAAAGTAGCGAATTACTTTTGTAGTTGCTTTTCTTTTTCTATGCTAACAAGGAAGTACTTACATAGGTTTTTGATCCGTTAGCAAAATTCTGTTGGCT